AATTGTACCACGACCTTATTAACAAGCATAATAGATTACTCATTAATGCACCTAATATATAAGATTCGTGTAACATTGCAATTGTGGCAATTTTCTATTATTCAATTAAGGTCCAGTTTGCATGGAACCACAGGTAAAATTTATTCCGTATTGCGCACAGGAGAAATATTCTCATTTTAACCAATCGATATCATCTTTTGTCATTTATTATCCATCCCCAAACCAAGGTTCCCCGAAGGGAGGTAATTAACTGGCCTGACAATTATGTAACGTATTGACTCGTTTACATTCGGACGTTTAATCGTTATTTGCCATTCTCGTTCCGTCGCCAGAGAAAATGATTGCTTCTCGTGCGAATGGAAATTGAGTCTGGAAATATAGTCGAGCGAATTTTCTACTGAAACCACCGACATTACCATATTACACTGAAATTCCAATATGTCATCTCAATATTAATACTGTTACTATATCAATATTCTAAAAATTAAGGGTTCATCCTAATGAATGAAAAATGTAGCGCAAATATTTGAATCCATTCGAAACGGACATAGAATTTTACGAAAAACGGGGAACTACTTATTGGTATATCCAGAAAAATATCAGAATCCAATTGGACACAAATCGTCTACTTTGATCCTAGAGGGTCTCAATATTCTAGAAATTAAGGGCTCATCCTAATGAACGAAAAACACTAAAACCAATTCTCCCACTAAATACCATTCAATCTCACGTGTCACAACAGTCAATCACGTCCAATCTCCCAAAGAATACATCAACTTCATTTTCACACACTCTAAAAGTTAGGTTAGGTATCCGCTTATTTCACCACCACAAACCACCTCCAGAATCATCCTCCGCCAATTTTTATCCTCGAAATCTCACCATAACATTCAGAACAACCATAGCTGATCGATACAATAATAACAATAATAATAACAAGACACACAATAATACACAATACTCAATACAAATACAAAAAAAGAAATACCAATTCAGACTTACAAAAACTGCACTACAATAACAAATTACAAATCGACAAATTAAACTTATTCATAGAAATAATATAAAAATCAAAATCAGAATCGAAATATTTAAAAACTAAAACTAAACTGATCGATATATTTAAATCCCTATAAATCCCGTGATCCAAGGAGGGCCACTGGGGCTCCGGCGGCAATTAATTACGGAAGATGATCGGTAATTAACAGTAACCGGAACTAGATAACGTTCATAACGGGACGGTTAGTTGGAATATATATACGAGGCGGTGCGCGGCTGCGGCTGACTCTTTATGGTGGGGTGTGCTCGTGACGTGAATTATTAGCCCTTCGGCCCTCGGCAGACCCTCCGGTTGGGGGGAAGGGGAGGAAGGCAGTGGGAGGAGTGGGGGAGTAGGTTCGTGCAGTGGGCGTGGATTACCGAGGCGGTGGGCGTGGCTACGAACGCCACCCTCGAGAAATCCACTCGTCACCCTCTTTTCCCGCCAAGGATACACGGAGAATTGATTCCCTGGACGGGATTCCATTTCTTATCGAGGCTGGTCGTCTTTCCTTTCAACGAAACAGCCTTTTCGCGAAGCGGAATATGTCCTCTGGATTTAATCGACAGGTTTCATGTTTTTTTTTTCCATTACTTGTTAACAATAGAACTATCAGCACTGAATGAATACTAAATTAAATTATACAATATCGTAATATACAGGGTGCGACATTTAAGTTGACACATGGAAATATGTATATATTATATTCTTCGATTTGCTTCAAAAACTAAGGGTTTAGGAGAAAATCTAATCATAGCACGCGATAGAGCAGAGCTTTCTGATATGGAAGGTGTTCAGAACAGTTAGAAAATTTATCCTGTTTTCAATAGAAAAGCGAAGTAGTTCACCAAAACATGTGGTTAATAAGAAAATTAATAAACAGATTCTACTGTTCTTTTCGGAAACTTTCTTTCTCTTAGAACTAACAGTAACAAAATTATGGGGTTCATACTATGTAGTACAATTTGAATTTTATTGGCGTTCGACAATAATAGCGACTTTAATTTAAATCGATACGCCGCGATGTTGTTTTCAACACACTGCGCGCGTGGTTATACACAGCCGCCACTATCTATTTCCTACCTACACAACTGCTGAAATGCTTGTTAAACAAAAAATAAAAATCTTCAAAAAATTTTTAAAACATTCCATTAGTAATTCTTTTACGATAGTTCCTAATCACGTACGATTTTTCTAGGCAATAAATCCTATACTCTAAAACGTATTTCTCCTTTTATGTACTATATAAAACATAAGCACTTCATTTACAAGTTCCTGTTATGTGATACAAAAAAAAATTAACCACATCGAAGGTTTCAACACAATATGGTTCAGACAAAAAAAGTTAAACCGTCTCAAAAATCATCCTATCCCAAAATAAAATTTTTATTTTACATAGCTAGCTTCCAGGCTTCTTAGGGAAGAGTACTAAACATACAGTAGTGCTTCCAACTGACTGCCAAGATTTAACAAAATCAATTCTGTAAAACAGTAATCCTCAAATAGGCTCAGAATAGGAATTTAATCTAACCCTAACATATACCATCTCTAGACATTTATTTCCCTTTATTTTCGGGATATTCTACAAGACCAGGTTAAAGGAACACAGCGAATACAACAGTTTTCATGAATCTCCCCGTGTTCCAGACCCTTTCATCAATGGGTTGCGCGCAGGTTCAGTGGTTGTACCAGTTTATGAGAGTCCAAACGGGAAAGACGTTATCGAAGAAGGGGCGGTGTTTTTGGCGGGTGGGAAGGGGGGTGGAAACGGAGAACGCAATCAGAGGGGTTGATAATACGAGCAAACCGATAGGAACCGACCCAAGAGAAGCGTAATGGTGTTGGTATATAAGGCACGAGCAGCGAACGTCTGCTCCTGACAGCCCATTACCACTGTACAAACGCGGGCACAGAGGATGGCGAAAGGCTCTCCCTCCCTCCGCGTCTCGTACCATCCCTTTCCGCGTCTGCTTCCCTCCTCCCGGGAATCCCCGGCCAGTCTTGCAGCCACTCGTGCAACTTGCTCTTCCTGCGGGAAGATGGTGGAAACCATCCTTGGCTACACAGAGGTATTCTCTGCGCCAGAGTTGGGCAGAATTTTATTCGAATAATACACAGTGAAAAGCAGCAGTATCTAAGGGTGGCGTCCTGAGCTTTAAACAGTCAATGAAATTAAGTAATCGTTCGACAAGTGTCAAGAAGACAAAGAAGTATTATTTTATTATAAAAATTGAAATTTCCACGTTTGGACAAATAAAAATTACGAAATTTGTTTTTTTATCTTTTATTCGTTATTCGAAACTTTTTATCTAGATAATGAGTTTGCCCATCTCTGCTTTGCGCCCAGGAACACGGAGACCGTGTTGAGACCTTTGGGAAATATTGATTTGACACTAAACGCACCTGAGTCTCTATCTACTTAGAATTGTTAAAGTGATTATAACATAAAAAAAGTTATTTTTTTTTCTGGATTGTAATCGATACAGAGTATAGGGGGATAAAATACTGCAGGATCATTACTTTGACCCAATTGGGTTTTCTAGTGTTTAGGTTGAGAAAGATTTACGTGCATACATATGCCATATGTTTGAGATAATATACTGTACAGTGTTCATTGCATCCTAGCCCTATTTGAGGATATTACTGTTTTACAGACTTGACTTTATTGAGATTTGACAGTTAATGAAAGTACTATTGTATATTTAGTACCATCTTTCAAGAAACCTAGAAGTTAGCTACCTGAGGATCTAGCCATTTAGAAAATGGTGGACTCCTTAGCCCAGGAATGAGGTTCTTACCTCATTCTTAATATCTAGAGCTTCACAAATCTAATTCTGACTAGCAATTAGCTGACTTTTTGGAAACTGGCTAAATAAAAGTCTAAACAATCCCAATGTATTTCTGAAATCTGAATTTGGCCTGATACTGGATCAATACTCAGATACTTTTCAGAGTAGACCATCCCTTATATGAATATTCTTTGTGGTCTACCTGACATAGTTGTAATTGTTTTGTCAACTAGATCAGTTCTATTGGATGTTTGTTGTCTGCACGGTATTTTTGTCACATCCTTCGTATATGGGGGAAGAAAAATCCTCCACCAGTCAGATTTCAATTTGGTGCCACGTGTTCACCGGCCACCCCCAAACGTGCCTGTCCCTCCCAGAATGATCAATACTGGAGGTCTTCTGCAGAGGACAGGTACACGACTGGTCCAGATTTCGGTTCAGGGACACCCGTGGCGAAAAAAGAGCAGATTCAAACATGTCCTTGAAAGTTTTCATTATTTACCTACAACCACTAGAGAACATCTTAATTTTTTTTATTTCAAATTTAAATTTTGGAGGAACCTCTTTTATAAAGATTTGACTGCTACTATCTATACAAAATAAATCTTTAGTACAAAATTTATAGAAACCACTCTTAAAAATTTGTAGAATATTCCGTATAATAATTTCTTAAATTTAGTCAGAATATTATTTCATTTTCGCGCTTTACCTTTAACTACTTATTTCTGACGTAGATATGCAATTTTTTGACTACTAAATTGCGATACTGGCACTCCTCGTAGCCATACTGGAAACTACTTTACCATCTCAAAAATGACGGGCGATTTAAAACTTCATTTCTATTTTACGCGATTCTAAATACATCATTACATACCATTATAGCGATACAATGGAATAATAAATTTTAAATATTATTATATATTAATGGCAATGTTTAATCATTGCCTTATGAACTTTAAACGATTTCAGGTCTCACAAAGTAAGAGGATCAATGTTTTCGATACAGGTAGTGAGGCCTCTGTGGAGAAACCAGTTACCCCGAGATAGGATTGTTTTGTTTTGGATCTGCTTTCAGGATCCAGAGATCCGTATCTAATTTCAACAAATGTCTGCGTCGTAATTCTTGCATGTTTAATTGATCTGAAAGTGTCGGTTCTCGGTTAACACCTACATTTAACGGGGTTATTTCTAATGGAAGAAACATGTTGAATAGTTACTCAGTTTAGTCCTTTGACATCTGATGAGGAGAGTGGTGCAATATTAAACACACGAGATATGCACAGAAGAAATCTGATCATGAACGAATAATTTAAATGCTCTTGCTACGCAAGGTGCTAATCAACTTGACAGTTCTAGCTGTGATTCTGGTGCTGTTCTATTGTTATCAGACATCAAATGGTGTACACTGGTCGGTGCACACTGTTCCAGAGCATGAGAACACCTCGACCACAAAGTCGAACGGTGGTTCCGGGGAGGATGAGATCTCGAAAGCACTCCTCGAGGCTGAAAAAGTTTACTACAATGTCTGGTGCATATTCACGAAAGTTGCTAGCAACTCACCGATGAGGAAGAAGTTTGCGATTTTCGCAGAGTCTTTGCTTAGGTTATCCTCCGTCGACATTGTATTCCACGTGATAACTGATGAGGATAGTAAAGATGTTGCAGAAAAGGTTCTGGAAGGGGTCCTGTTGTCTACAGGAAAATTCATGAAGGTAGAATCAATATTGTGCAGTGTCGCACATAGAAAGAAACATATGAACATTCATAGTTAAGAATTATTCATCTGGTTTCTTCGTTTCAGGTGCAATATTATGATGTACACAAACTAGCATCGCAGCTAGAAGACATTGTATCGGTGATGTCTCCGCATTTCAGTAGTAAACCGGGAACATATTACTCTGACGCTTTATTCTTCTTGTCTCTGGGTTTGCATAGAATAGCTCCAATCGAGCAGAGTGTGGCTGCAATGTTCGATGCTGACACGAAGTTTAGGAAGGATGTCAAGGAACTTTTTGAAGAATTCAACAGCTTCGGAGGTCAGGCACTGTTCGGCCTGGCTCCAGAGCTCACTCCAGTTTACAGACATGTTTTGTATCTGTATCGCAACAAACACCCGAACACATCTTTCGGGGAGCCTTCAAAGTCCAATGGTTATCCTGGCTACAATAGTGGAGTAGTGCTTTTTAACTTGGACAGACTACGAAATTCTTCTATTTATGATCGTATCGTTAAGAAGGAAAGTGTTCAAGCAATGACTGAAAAATATCACTTTAAGGTAATGGAGATTATTGAACGACAAAATTACCAGTTGTTCTGACAATAAATTATCAATTTGACAACCTCTGTTTCCAGGGACACTTGGGAGATCAAGATTTCTATACGCTTCTAGGAATGGAAAGACCTGAATTGATTCACACTATCGATTGCGGTTGGAACAGGCAGCTGTGCATCTGGTGGAGAGACCGTGGTTACGCGGATGTATTCGGGAATTATTCAAGGTGCGATTCAGAAACGAAATTGTGGCACGGCAACTGCAATACCCCAATACCCGACGATTGATACAGATCAAGAATAATTAGTTTCACGAACATGACAATGTAAGATCTCTTTTCTCGATTATTGTTAGTGCAATAATAAGATGCATAGTTTAACCGTACCTGGTGCTGTTCAGAGTGTAGTATTCAAAATATTTTATCTCACGATATATAGGGATTCCGAATCTGTGATCCTTCGGTGGCAATAGATGCCTATAACTTCCATTATAGTAGCGATATATTTATAAAGATTCTTAACCTTTAAGTCAGATTAATATCATTGGTGCCTATGAACTAGTTCGTAAGATGTTAACCTTCGAGTTTGTATATTTTAAATATACATTATAAACAAGTTATCAGATACGCGTCCACAGGAGTTGGGTGCTATTTGTACAAAAATACTAACACAAAAGATATTTAACTTTAATGACGCTACTTTATGAATGTATTTTTTACTATCGATTAAAGTATTTACACAAAAGTGTAATTGTGTTTTTTCGTTCATTTCTATAGTTCTTACGAATTTAAGACTATTATTAGTAGCTGGTGACCGTTTATTATGTTATTCCATAGATTTTATCAGCCAGTCTGATAATCCCCCAGTAATCCTGGAATGAAAGCAATAAGGCTTTCACTTGAACTGTAAGTGATAACGGTATGTAAATAGGATTGTCGCCATATTATATTTTTTTTTAACGTGAGGAAAATATTAAATACAATATTGACATTATACGCTATTTACAGTATAACACACGTTCTCACCCGACGTGATTACCACTCTGCTATAAAATACTCCTGTAATTCTCAAAATCCGTAAAACAACCTTCACGTTTCTTGACTAATGACAATAATCCTCGTCTTAAAACAACGCCACCCGTTAACGTAACATCAACACAACAATATATTTTCCATTCAAATGTTCAAACTTCGTGTTACAATGTGCCTTCTGGAACATTCCCCCGGTAATATAATGCCTCATTCGCTGCATTCGAGTGATTTTAGCGACAACGTAAACGAAGTAAAAAAAAAAAGGAGGGGGGGGGCAAAAGAAAAAAGAATGCAAGTCGCCCGTTAAACAATTCTTCGGTTGTATCGAGCGAACAGAACTTCGAACCGGACCACTGCCACACAATTCAAACGCAACTCTCTCAACCAAACCATCATCATCATCACCATTATACGGATTATCATCCTACAACTGACCAGATTATTTTCTCAAACGTAAAGAAAGAACACTATTATTATAAGTTCTACACACACCCTACCGCATCTAGATTCGTTGTACAAGTACATAAAATAAAAGATGTCACACCTTTGGTCCCAGTGATAGAAACTTAAATGTTAATTAGATTATTTAGGACGTGTGTTAGTCAACGTGGATCTCTCGACCGTTCGAGTCGAACCATGGACCTGTAACGATCCGTTGACTATTTGGACATGATAATACAAAGACTCTCCCCTACCCTCTTTCTCCTCTAATTGCTTCGATCGGAAAACTTTACACGTCTACGTGGATATGTACATTTTCGATCATATTTAACGACAACCCTTCTTCTCGGTTGTCCGACTTTTTACACACGATATTTACACACGAATGATTTCCAAGAACAACAAAAAATATATATATATGTATATAAATAAACCTCGTCTCTACGATCATTCTATCGCTACCGGTTGTTCTGATGAGAGCACCAAGAAGACGTCTTCGGAACGTTGTCCTTGACCATTATAGTTTCTTCCGACATTAGTAGAACGAATATTGGTTGTTAGAGGAACACTGACATGCAATGAATGTATCGCAACAATGACGATAATCGTTAGCCACTGTTTGCAATAAATTCAAGTAGTTCGGCCGTTAAGACTGGAAGGCACTTAGCATCTTTCAGCAGCCTGGAAAAAGTAAATTCTCGTTAGCTGGACTGCGCCTATCAGAATTCGTCTCTACAAATTGTAAGATTCCAGAGATCTGGAATCAAAAAAAAGAGTAGAGAAATTCTTTTTCTTCTAGCACCCAGTGTTCCCTTTCCGTCCCAATTTTCAATAATACCCTGAACAGGTTTTCCGTTTCTTAAAGGCCCTATGATACAATTCTCCACCTGTGATTTTACTCTCGTGGATCACGTCAAGATGCTTACGCTCTTCAGATTCTCGCGGCCCCCAAAGTTCCGAATCGATTCCAACAAAGTGTCCCTCGGGTCCACCTGGACCGGCATCGATTTCGGCCTTGTGCTTTTCAACGTGACGCCTGTGATAACGGGCATTGTAGGGGGCCTGGGTGGTTGGGGTATGGATGACTCTTTGAAGGTTTCCTTACGATTATTCTCGTTGTCCTGGTCCCCCTTTCCATTCGTGATCCGGAATCCCTTTATAACAGGCGGAGCTGCGCCAGCCTTAGCACCGATGCGATTCCCAAACGAGAAGTTCCCCTGATTCGAAGGGTTCACACCCACCACAGAGGTAAATTTCTTCGGCTTCGAGGTGTCCAGGCTACCGTTGCTCAAGTATTGATCATTGGTAGCACGGACTGTCTCCGGATGAACGTGTCCGTTCTGTTTGTTGGAATCGTTTTCAATCTGAAGATCCGAGCGTCGATTCAAGGTGATCCGTTTTGGCTTTGGCCGCAGGCAGATCTCCTGACCAAAGGCCTTCGACACCTCCTTGAAGTTCACAGGTGTCGTGTCGATCGTGTCGTCGCTCTGCTTGGTCTCTAGGAAGCTTTTCTTCAACTCTACTCCGGTCACCACTGGTTTTTCATTCGTTGATTTCGATTCTATGTAAACTTTGTTCAACACTGGCCTCTTGAAGCCTGTCGCTGTTGTGTGCGTGATCAGTTTCTTCGCCAGTTCGTTGGGCTCCCTCCTATCCGACGTTACAATTTCTATTTGATTGCTCTTCTCCAGGACCTTCCGAGGTCTTCTGGACTCTTCATTACACCCATCTGCCTCGTCTCTGGTGCCATTTATATTTACAATCGTCCTGTTGTTGCTCTTCAGAGTTCCCAATTTGTAATCTTTGTCCATTTTTATCTGAACATTCACGGTTGGTCTCTCTGACCAGCTGCCTAAACTGATCGCAGGCGGTCCGGAGTAAGTGTAACGCTTAGAGCTGGTTTCGGATGGTGGCTTCCTTTGCTCTGGTTCTGATTTCCCTTCAGATCGAGTCGAAACTACATTCAATTCGATCGAACGTTCGTTAGACGTAGTCTCGGGCCTGAAACAGATTAACCAAGTGTACCTGACACTTGCTTTTCCAAGAATTATTTCCCTCAGACACTCACCTCGTTTTCTCAGGTAGCACTACCATGTCGTCAGATGATTCTTTGGAGACATTTTCCTCCGCCTGTTGAGCGTTCTTCAACTGCGGTAAAATGCTTTTCAGTACCTGGAGGGAATTGTCCAAAATTATAGTCACGGATCTTCCCTATCAAGTATATACCCAACTTCGTTCAAAAAGACGTACCTGTAAAGACTGCAGTTGCTTCTCTTTGGTAGGTTCCTCTTGCCGCTTCAGAATATTGTCCCTCCACTGTGAGAACTTCTCGTTGTTACTCCTGGTTGCATTCAGGCTGGTGATACTTGTCGCCTTTTTCAGCCCAACATTGTCCATATTCACCATATTATTATTATTCCTGACAACCTCATCTTCACACGTGGCCTCTTGGAACTTGGGCTTGTCGCACACAGACATGTAGCTCTTAGACCTTTGAATATTACTCTTCTCATTACCAGACTGCCACCTATGCAGGGATTCCGTTTGCATCTTTGGTTGTTCCAGCTTCGCGTGATCAGTGTCTTCCACTTCCTTCTTTCCCTGCAACGTTCCAGTGCTGATTTCCTTTGCAGCTCTGTCCTCGGTCTCATCCAAATTGCTCTTGTTTCTGGACAGAGTCGCAAATGACTTGATGAACCTCTCATCGTTGTTCCTCCTTCGAGACTGATCCTGCACCTCCTCGAATACATTCAGACTTTTCTGTCTGGTGTAAGTAGTGATAGTGAAGTTCGACAGAGTTTTGTCCACAGGTGCAATCTTGGCAGTCAATGAGTTCTCTATAGCCTTTCGGGAATCAAAGTCCTTGGTTCCCTGGGGCAATGTGCTTATTTTGTTCTCTAATTCACAGATCACTTCCTTCTTCAAGTTACAGTCTGATCTTGGCTGTCTTTGGAGTTTCTCGTGGAATATCTCTTTCCTAACCTCTTTCTCAGAGGTACCTTTACTTTCTGTTCTTGTTTCCTGCTTCTCCAAGGAGTTCCTCAGGTCCCTGTCAGTCTGTTCCTTACTTCCTGCATCCCTGAACGAATCAGGCGACGAAATTACTTCATCGAAGTTGTCGAACACTGGAGAAGCAGAATCCCTGAAGGCACTCGGGGGAGCTGGAAGCTGGTACTCCCAGTCTGCGATGGACAAATCTTCGTCAGCCGCTGAGACATAATCAGACGTGTCCTGCTGTGAATTGACAGTCAGATTCGGGGTGCTGGTGTTCACTATTGCACCATCTGGGAACTCGTTGCTCTGCTGTTTCAAGTCCTGCTCGTTCGGGGTTTTCTTAATGCTTGGGGAAGGTGTTTCTTTGCACGTTGTTCCCGATTTCGCTCCAACAGGGGACACAAATCTCGTGATAGGTACTTCGACGGCCGTAGAAACTGGCAGTGAGTTGGACAATGTGTCTGACACTTTCTGTAGCAAGACGTCAGTCTCCGAGAGATTTGAATCTGCTTGTGAAAATGTCAGAATGTAAGTACCTGTGTTGCTGTAGAAGTAGAAATGTGGTCTGTTACAAGATACCGGTTGCGCCAAATATTCCCGCCTTAACCTACTCGCTAATTTTATTCGAATTACATTATTGAAATATATGTATTTTCAAGATAAAACACCCCTATAACAAATCTTTTAATACTAAAATTTAATAACCTAAGACACCTGCTTAAGGTGCCTTGTCAGTGGTCACAGGCGAAATTTTCACCTAACCTCATCCCCTATAAATAATTGTATGTATACGTGAACTGTAAATACAGATAAATTATACGTGTACCTGAAGCTATTTTCCAACCTAGTTTGGCAAGGAATTTATGGCGCTACCTACTTACTGCCTACACACGTTTGCTTTATATAAATGAACCTGAAACCTTGTAGGACCATTCAATAAAGCACTTTCTGGCTCTATACACCAATAAACGTTCTCAACGAGTTACTTAAAATTTTCAACGAATCTTAACATATTTCACAAGGCATCAGGTTTCTTACAGTACAGCAAACCATGATAGCGCAGTGGTGGGCACAGAATGATCTTAATTACTTCAAAGGTACTAAAGTTTTATAAATGAAGATCATAGTGTTCGGAGGGAAAATCTAGGAGAGAAAAGCGGATGCCCATCACCACCCCATTAGTGATATGTAACATGCACCTGATGCACCCAATCCGCAAGGCGATTTTTCCTCCTTCTCATTCGACTTAGTTAGGTCTTCACCAAGCTGTTTCGATTGGCCAGACAATATGCGAACATTGGACGCCACATTCAGATTCAAAGCAAAGGTGAAGTCCTCTGCGTGAGATGTGAAATGCCTCTTTTGTTTTTCCAGCGAGTTGATTTCAAAGTCGTTCGACTTGGACGCAGTTCGTGGGATCCTGGCTCTTCTCGAATCTTTAGCACCTTCCTGATCAGTTGCATTATCGACACTCCCTCTGATCTCTGTATTCCTCGTTTTGAACAACGCACTTCCCTTGCCCTCTGTCAACTCATCCAGGTGTTCGCACTTTGGCATGGTTGAGATCACAGCGCACATTTTCTTCTCTCGGCCAGCAACAACTCTTCCAGCCATCAGTGAAGGCTCTTCACCTTTCACCACAGCAATATCTTGATCCTTTGGTGACATTTCTATTTCATGTGTACCATTCTCATTCTTTTTCATGGTATTCACCATTTCTTCTGAAGTCACAGAAGCTGAATCAAAGGATGCTGGACTCTGGTCGACTCCAGAAGTCAGGAACACCTCATCCTCGTTTACAGAGCAAGTGGAAGTATCTTCTAGCTCCTCTTGACCCTCAATCCTTTGATCAGACGTGGAACTTCTGGTGGATCCGACGTTACCGTTGATGGCAGGTCTTTCAAGGGCATTTGAACTCGCGTCACTGGTGACACTTCCATTGCTGAAGTGTACAGGAGCGTTTGCTAAGCGGTGGTCTACATTGCTGGTCACTGAGTCGAGGGTTCTACTCAACGGGGAAGGCGGTGCTAACCTGCGTTTAGGCGCCAAAGGCTTCATCGACGTGCTACTGGTCGTAGAGGTTTTTCTAGGTTTGGGAACTGGAACGGGTTCTCCGACTGTACTCGTAGGAAAAGAGAAAAACAAAAAAGAAACCGTCACCTCTACGTGAAAAATTAGCAAGCGTGTGTGAATAGGGGCGTTTTATTTTAAAAAGGTCGTGCTTTTTGGTACACTTTTTCTGGGCCATGCAAGTAAAGGGACAGACTTCTCAGGCAAGTAATATGTACAGGGAACATTTCCTCGATTGTCTACCCACTTTGATAATTTGTGATGCCGTTAAGGTAGGGGGTGGAACGAAAACACTCGTATAGTTGGAGAATACAAAACATCTAGACGAATTCACCAGCTCTGCTCTCCAGGATCGAATTCAACTGGACCAAGAACCTGTTCCAACTCTCTGTGGACTCCTCTCTGCTCACCAGGCCGGGTGGAGGAGGTTCTAAGATGCTCAGCTTCTTTTCTGATTCTAGCTTACACTCGTTGTGTTGGATGATTGGAAGGGACGGCAGTTTGTCGACATTATTGGGGATTGGGTCTATGGTAGTTACTGGAATATCTAGGGGTTTAGTGGAAATTGCAAATATCTGCAAATTGCTTAAAGGTGGCGCAGAGAGATTGGTTCTATGACTGTCTGATGGACCGTTGAACGAGTCTCCGTTAAGACTAGAGGAAATAGAGCCATTGTAGCACTTTGTGGTGCTCGTGTAGCCCAACATTGGCTGTCTACCTTCATATGACTCTGAAGGACTACCCCTAACACAAAAGCTTCTCGAGCTTGAAACATTTGGTCTCTCAAAACTGCTCACTATCTTCGTATCCTTGAGCTTGAAGCCATTCTGAAAGCTCAAGCTATGCTTCAATGCTTTGGCCTGATACCTATCATCACACAGGTAGCTACCAGAGTGCACCTTCCCTGAACTAAATCTCTCTTCCAGCACTCCACCGGCTGGCATGTTATCTGTGTCCACTGATATATTATTTAAATGAACCAGCGTCTGCATCTTGATCAATCCACTCTGAGACACAAACGTGTTCCGAGTAGGAAACTCAGAGTTTTTACGAATACTGAAACTTTTCCGCCCCTTTCTGTCCCTCGATAGGGCGACATTCGAGCAGGCAAAGCTCTGAGACTTCTGCACCCTGGAACGCGATGTGAAACAGTCTTTCGTCGAGTCGAACGAATTGAATTTTGATTTGGGTGGCTGATATTTGCCAGGAAAGTCTACAGAAGGCTCAGTGTGCCTGCTCGAACCGGATCTAAACTCTTCGATCCTCGAGTGTAGTTTCATCTTTTCGTGATGGAACAGACTCCTCTGTCGCCTAAATGTTCCCGTTCCTTCCCCTACCTCTGGCACCTGCTCGAAGCTGTTCCTCGAGACGAAACTGTAGGCAGGCATGCTGTCCTCTATGCTACCGTAACTACGCACTAGCTTACCTCTCTTCCGGGGCAGTCTAGCGTCTACAGGAGCGTCTGTTACGGGTACAGTGTTCCCTGGCTGGTCGCTGGGTAACTTAACGTTTACGGATCCCGATCTGTGACGCGGTTCGATATCCATTTTTATCTCCACGTCCACCTTCGATGGTTCCGGCCTGGCGAAATCGATTTTTGTGCCCAAAGTGGTCACTCCGATATCTGAGTTAGCTTTTGGCCTATCCTCGATGTCCGAGTTCGCCTTTGACGGAGCGCCAATGTCTGACGGAGGCTTCGAGGGATCGATGTCTGAGGTCAGCGATTCCTCAGAGTCCACGATACGCTCCAGTGCTTGGGTAGAGATCGCCGACGAGAGGGGTCTGGTCGCTGGCGGAGGAGGTGCAGCTCTTTTCTTTCGTAGGCCTGTCAAAGGAGGCTCTGTCAGACTTGTGCCAACGATTACAGAGAACAACGTAGGGGACTATACACAATTCAAGCTGGTCATCCAACTACCAACAAGGGTACTACTTCTACCGACGAGTTCAGAAGACTATGAGATTAATATATAAAACGTGAAACAACCTTATGGGGTTGGTGGGACGGTACTACAAAAGGAATTCTACCTGTAGAACTCAACGAGGTACTGCTAATCCCATGGGAGAGCGTACCAGGAACAGTAGCCAGATTGCTGAGGCTCTTACTAGACTGAGAGGTATGCGCCAACTTCCTGGACGTCTCCACTGGGAGTCTGCTTCTTCTGGGCAACGTTTCTGGCAGTCTTCCGGCCGAGTCGGGGTTGTCGCTCAACACGGACGCCTCGTGGTAACCGGAACTGTCGCTGCTGTTGCGACTGTGACTTATGACTACCTTGTCTTTGCAAGAGTCCCCTGGATTATCCTCTGAACTCTGAAATGGGAGTGTACTTCCATGTGATATGTAACTTGCTGATATGTACTATGTCTTTTTGAAAATGTTTACTTGGTGGTGGATTGAGAAGTGAATTGAAAAAATTTAAAAAAGTTGAATTGAAAAGTATCGATATTCGAATTACCGATACTCTATCGCCCATCACTAAACCTAGCATCTGAACGTTCTATTATCCGAACACTTATGTCCCCCTGTTAGTCTGGAACAAAGACGCTCCATTATTCTACTACCAGTTCTACTAACATTGCTGACTTTTGGCTGAGCGTCCATAGGCGGTTTGGGGGCAGGCCTCCGTTTTCTTTGGGGCCTGGCAGGCGGCTGAAGGGGACTAGTACTTCTGCCAGTCTCGTCGCTTCTGGCCGGGGATGCACTCCGTCCGCCAAGGCTGTCCGTGCTCAGAGAGCTCTCCTTGGACTTCTTGAAGACGAACCCAAAAACACCTTGCTTGGCCTGTTGCCTCCTTCGTTCCTCTTGCCTGTGCAGTACCATTATGTCCTGCGTGCTGAGGGCCGAGCCGAGCGTTCTGCCCTGTTTCGCGTAAAGCGTAACTTCCTGGAGGTTGTAGTCCTGAAGGGACAGAGAGAGGTCCAGGGTCTCTAAGCTTGCTGGAACCAGAGACAGAGGGGTGCAATATAGAAACTGGCCGAGGATTTCTATTTCTTCTGTTGCTATTCCAGAGACCCTTTTAATTGGGACACCTGCTAGGAGAGTTCGCGAGAATTAATTAAAGTAAATTGTAGAGGAATTCCACTGTACGTCGAGGATTGGCTACAGGTGAGCCGACTAGGCCCATCCTAGGAGGCAAGAAGGCCAACGTCCAGCATGCGAACAGAGGACACAGTTAACGACTGGTAGTGGAGGAGCAATTCAGAGCAATTTCAGAACTAATAATGCCATCTATATTGAGGGTCTATCTGAAATGATTTGAAATGATTTGTAAACAGAGGGAATAGGAAGTTATTTTCTCCATTATAGATTTTATGGAATTGTCATTTTATGGAGTTTTAATAGTAAATTGCTATTAAATCCTGGATGGTGTCTCACGCTGAAGACTGATAGGAAGACTTTCATCCGCGAGGTGAACAGGAATGCAGAACTTCAGGGAAATTGGATTGACAGGGCTGTTATACATATATTATATATATATGTATATGTATGTGCATGATCTGGATGGCTTCAGAAGCCATATTGGTCAGTGGAAACCGAGTCAAAGCATGCAGCCACTGACCTTTCTAGCCGCGAATCCGATACTATTGCACCGCTAGGTATTTGTGAAAATTGATATTGAGCTTAATCGAACAGAAGTAATTAACAATCATATTTAAGCAGTACAAGATTCAAATTATCTTCAAGTAATTATTCAAATAATTTGAAATTGAATAAACTGCTATATGACACTGTATTCAAAAGTTTCTGTAAGACACACAATATTTAGGGTATTTCTGTAGATATTTTCAACTATATTTCTGGCCTCATAAAGAACAGTATTATTTCCAAAGAAGAGTAAATATATTTTGAAAAAGAATTATGCAAGGTTGTAGAGAGGAAAAGAAGGTATTATTAAAAAAGAAAGTAAATCTTTTACATTAATATAATATTACAGACTAACCAAGTAAACTAGGTTCCATAAAAAGGAAGATATTTCAATATTTTACAACTTCAGATTGTCTTAAAGAGCTGTTCCTTAAGTTCATTCAAATTCCAAGATCCCTGAGTGTATCCGATTTTGAATATTCCGTACGGATTCGATTCCTTTTACGAGGCGCGCGTTTATCAGAATCCTGAAACTGTTCGGAAGATAAGTTAATAGTGGAGGACCTGCATAATTTTGTTTTCTTCGTCGCCGTTCACCAAACAGGTCTTAAGTAAAAAAGAAAAAAATAAAGAAAAACGAAGCAGTTGACTGAGCAGCGGGAGAATATTTCAGGCGTTTCTGATCGTAAATTATGTAAGATAAAGGTGGCGAAAATTCTATGCATGGCAGGTTATATTTGACTCTAGGAACATTTCTAATGAAAAAAATTTTCCATACGTGACAGAATAAAAGAAAATTATTTTTTTAGCTGAAGGAGTTGCCTTTCCTTAAAGGGAACAATATTACTATTCTATTATAGTATTATATATTACTATTATAAAGTTACTACTATAGTATTAAGTATACTATAAGGTAAAGAGTTATCTTCACTAGTGGAAGATCATTACTATTCAGTTGTTTATGAGCAAACGTGTCAAGTTCAAACTAATTTTTCCAAAACCACTTAACTGTTATCTCTCTGTTCGCCATAAGAGTTGAACTATACCAGAAACTAGACTGAAGTTTCGAGAAATTTAATTCTGTGTCTTTCAGTTAACATTTGATAGTCTGACTGCATACGAGAACTTTCGATTCAGTTCAAACGATCTACAAGTGATTTCAATGATTTTTCATGGAAAATATAGGGGAGGTTAGATATGTGGAAACCTGTTAGGAAAACGAAAGAATACCTAAAAACACCGATTGACCAGTGCTACCGGTTTAAATATCAAACGTAAACGAATCAATTTAACGTTCAATCCAGGTTATCGTGTTCTCCAGGGCAATAGATACACGGCAATTAAAGGCAGTAGAAGTTATCAGGTGATATTCTCGTGTCGGTGAAATCGGGATAATAAGTCCTTGTTTTTTTAACCAGGTAGTATCTTATGTAAACGTCTTAATTACTTAACACAGTTTTCTACAAATTACTATTGCAGCCTTCTGTGGGGTCACCAGATGTTCTCTGCGCCTGAATAAACGTTTAACTAAATGGCTTCTTGATTTTCAGTACTTGGCTCTGGTATCTGCATCACTATGAATCATCTTTATAGTATATAGCTAATTTTCCATTACGATTTTGACGTAGATGGTGTAGTTAATATAATTAGTATAGTTAACATAGTCGGTATAGTTAATGTAATTAGTATGGTTAACCTAGTTGGTATAGTTAGAATAGTTATTGAACCTCCACAATCCTTGATCAAGTTTATCATCAGAGAATTTTAGTTCGCTCAGACTAATTTTGTTATTATAAACAATATCCGTTTTTTATTTAGTCAGTTCATCAGCCGTATTTGCCTACCTGGATGGCGTAGCTCGTACTTGCTCCTGTCCAGATTCTTCTCACGACAGACCTCGTCCAAAATGTCGCCCAGATTCATTTTCGGGCTGACTCTGGACACGTACAATTGGTTCCTTGGTAGATGCACCTGAAACAGTTGCACAACGGTCGTTAATCGCTAGCTGATTGGTGGAGAACTACGTCGTAACGTAATGGACATAAATAGAACAATGATGTGTCACTAGCCTTTTATCTTTGTCAAGAGGATTTTTCTATAATATTTTAATACCTCTTTATCTACAAGTGGACGTGGAAACGTTGTTTAATTGACACGAATTCTCTTACCTGTAGCCTGAAAGTGGTTTCAAAGGGTTGATTGGCCTGCTTGGTCTTCCGGGGGACAAAGGTTCCCTGTTTCGGCAGCAATTTCACCTGCAACACCAGAAACCGATGTACACAACGACCCACGCTTGTTTTCTTTCTGTATTCTTTGGAGGAAAATATGTTGTGGCACTGGTAGTCTGATTAGAAGCCGGCGAAATAACAAGTTCAGGATTGCAAGAGTGTTCTTTGGGTAGGAAGTTAATACACGTCCAGGGATCAAACGTTTCTGGGAAGGCTGGGTCACTTCCTTAAGAGCAAGCCTTCATTTTCTTGTGAGAAAAAACACAGGATTAACGGTCGCTAGTCTGGGAATTACTGCAAAAACCGTGGATGTGCCTTGCTTTTTTTTATGCAGGAATATTACAGTCCTCAACGCAGGTTAAAATGTATCTTTGAAATTTTAATAAAAGCAAAACTGTTTCATGATATCCGTCTGTAACGTTACACTAATATTTATACAGTCAGAGTATCAGGCTGTGAGGAATTTCTTTCTGTGAATTACTCGGTGTTCAAGGTATGGTATTTGGTATTCAAGATATGGTATTTGGTACTCAATCTATGGTGTTTGGTGCGTAAGGTATGATATTTAGTATTCAAGGTATACACTTTGGTATTTCTTTGGAAACTCAAAATGGACAACCAATATTCCTTGCCCTATTTTTTATCATTGGTGTCCTACATTGTCACATCCACATGATCCCCCGAATATTGCCACTAACATATGTATCATTTTTTCGTCCGTAAGGCTTCCATTTAAAATTACGAAGTTTCTGACCGTACCTGAAGTGCATCCAACGCGCCAATAGGGGTGTTCGGTTGATGAGGTAGAACTATACCATGCTCTCCTATGGCCTGCAGCGTGTAGCTGGAGGCTGTCAATTTGTGGGCCGTGGCTATCTGCACAAGGAGGTCCATCATGGGCGTACTGTCGACAAAAATTCAGAAAATAAAAGGCTATTAATCGTGAAAAATATACTTCGCTAAAATCTTTAATGGAATTCTTATTATTTCAGAAATAATAAGAGGGACAAAGTGATTAAACCTAGGACACACTAGGAACCACCTTCTACAAAGTGACTAAACCTAGGACACCCTAGCGACCATCTTCTACAAAGTGACTACACCATTGGCTCTACACGACACACTGAAATTGGCAGTTCCAGCGACAGACCAAACATTTCTCTCCTCTCTATTTCCAATGTTAACTTTCTTTCAAACGGAACATTTCTCGCGCCCAGTGAACGCGCCATTAATCATAATTCTTTCAGCCAGTTCCGAGGGGGATCGTTTCACCTTGCGGACAGAGAGACCGCAGAGAGCTGCTGCAGTCGACCCGAATTTCTGGAAAGCGCGGAGGATGAACGTCGCCCCGATAGGAAAAAAACGTCGGGAAACGACGAGCCAAGAAACAACCGGGGAAAAACTGATCTCGACTGGTGAATTTCTCCTTGGTGAGAGGTTTTTTAGTGTCGTTAGAAAGCACACCGAGGAAGATTCGCTTCGGAGAGCCTTTGGTGTAGTACCCACAGCATGTCACTGTTAGAGGACAGGGAAACGAATTCTGTAGGCTGGAACGTTGGGTATTTTCTTTATGATCCACGTCTCTATACTCTAAAGCAAAAATTCCACTGCTAGTTTTATACATATATAGGGTATAAGTGGACTTTGGTAACGAATCTGAAATTATGGTGAAATTATAGGATCAGTAGTTTCATAGATTATTAGGAATCTTTAATGGACCTTATGGGTTAACGGTGGGCATTTATTCTCAATATAAGTACCCTAAAGTAAGAGATTTATCAATCAATAAGATCCACTAACAATTATTAAGTTCTAGAATTCTTAGGACTTCTAAAACTACTGATCCTATAGATCCCTCCAATTTCAGACTAATAATAATGGCCTCTGTCATTACAAAAGCTTTGTAAAGAACCTGTTCATCCATTGTCCCTCTTGAACCTGTCAGTATTTTAAACAATTTTCTTTGTGAAAGTGTTGGTACAAATTACTAAGAATTTCTTCCAATCCTTCTTGACCAATGAATCTGTATCTGCTGTTGCAAGATTCTCTAGTTAACGTGATTCGACAAAGAGCAAGAATACGCGATTCCAGAAACCCAGAGGCGGCGACGAGAAACAAAAGTGGCCAGCTCGGAGAAACGTCTAATTAGGCATTAGCTGGTGGGTAGCTGGAGGATCGTCACGGTGCAATAACACGAAGATTACAGTCATTGTGAAGACCCTAGGGGGATTCACCCAGGCCAGAAATCAATCAGCTAATCGGACCGTTAGGATTAATTCCAGGATCGATGTTCGGATGATTATCAGAACGGTTAAAATCTGGAACGGGTGCTTTTCGTGTAGCTAATCGATTTTATTTTCAGATCGATATCCCTGGACCGTTAGGCGGTCTCCATAGTACGCCTTCCGATTCCTCTTTTCGTGGGAGAATGTGCGAAAATTCTGTGACCGTGAAAGACACTCCTCTGGGCCTGTCTGTGATCCTTCAAGTGGAAACTCTTCAATGAAAGTTCTGCCTGAAATATTCTTTAGGAAAGAGAATTATCTCAAAGACGTCTGAAATTGTAGACCAAAAGATAAACTCTCCCTCTGGGTCCACGACGATTTTTTTTTTTTATTTTTATATTCTTTATATATACTATTTACTCTTGACTACTAACCAATTTCTTAAATAAAAATAAAATTAAATATACTTACAACACAAATTTAATACCAAAAAAAAAAAAGTAAAATGTCTCCAAAGTTTAGAGTGACGTGTCTCTTTATGGATTAAAATGACCCATCCTGCCATATGCAGGTTTTTAGGCTAATCCTAGGCCATTTCTCTAACTTCCACTTTATTAGATATCTGCTGGAGGTGACATATCTTAACAAGACACTTAGTTCATCTTGTTCAAAGTTATAATCCCTCCAAGAACTATGCTATAATAAATGAGTGAACGTGGAGGAATTACCTTCTCTGCACCGTGACCCTTTGCGTTTGCTGATGGTGCTCCCGAGGTAGCTGGACCAGGAGCTCCATACTTCCAGCCAGCATGTCCGCCGGTGTGTCCTCGGTCACGGTTAGAACCATTCTGGATGGCCTCTCTGCTCTATTCCTGAAACATAAATAGAATCCGCTACAGTGAATCAATCCTGCAAGACAGTTCTAAATTAACAGTCAACTGTCTTTGGCTCTACGTGAGCAACTACTGACCCCCATACCCTAAAATGTTCAGAGCTTAGCTCGTTATATATGCTTATGCAAGTTTATATCCTTGTGGGCAACGTTGCACAAATCATTCTAAGACAGAAACTTACTTTTTAATATTCTGGGCTCTACTGAACTCTAAAAGTTCAGAAAATTTTATGAAATTTTACAGACTCCTCTCGATTATTGTCAGGCTTGTTCTACACGATTATTGTCCTGACGATATCCCCACCACTAGAGGATAATCCGCTTTTGTTTCCTTCTGCAAGAAAGAAATTTACGAGGGTCTGAAGCATTTCCCCCTATATGATTATTGTCCCAGCGCGGACCCGAGTTTGGGACGATAATCGAGAGGTGTCTGTATTTTAATATGTAGGGCACTAGAACACAGTTTTGTGTGGAATCTAAATTGGAAAGGGTGTATGGTAGGAACCTTTGCTACTTAGTTTCCTAGAATGCAAGAGTACTCTGAAAAATCTTGTGATCCAGTGACACTCATACCTACTTCATTTTGCCTCGCTCATTTACTGACGCTAAAAGCTTCTCCATCAAAGTCCTCCTACTACTTTCGTGACATATACCTATCTTGCAGCACAGTCAATAAATTTTGTAGCTATTAAGATATCTCATGATTGGCCTTCGGTTCTTTTTAATTCCATCGTCATCAAGGTTGCATTATGTTTGGACACGCGTCGAAACGGACGGAGAACGGGGCACGTTAAAACAAACGTGATACTGATCCCGTTTAAGCTTCCGCAAACAGTGTTCAAGTGTTTCCGGGTCACGTGTGTATGCGACGAGATTCAATGCCACACCGTTATCATTGTCCACACGAAATATTCTCGGGCTCGAATCGTTCCCCTGCGAGGAACGGGGATCCATATAATATGCGACGTGAATCGGTATTTATGGGGCGCCGTGTATGGGGTCTGGATCTTTAAGTGCACCTGCACAAACCAGTAAAGAATATGCCCACTACGCTGTAGTGGCCTTCTTCAAGGCTCGTAACTGGTCGATGATAACATTCAGATTTCTCGTCCTACAGGATCTCCGTGAAGATAAGAACATACAGGGTGTCCCTAAAATAAGGAACCCTTGCAAAGAATGTCCCTGGAGTAACAAAGATTCTTATAAAGGGCGTTCCTAAAGTAAGGGACCAGAAAGAGATTCTTATAAAGGGCGTTCCTAAAAGGTATTCTTATACAGGGTGTTCCTGAACTAAGGGACCTTCATAATGGCGTCAATAAAGTAAGGAATGCTTAGATACAGTGTCCCTAAAATTGGGAATCCTTAGATAGGGTGTCCCTAAAGTAAGAGGTGCTTACATACGATGTCATTAAAGTAAGGGATTCTTACATACGGTGTCCTTAAAGTAAGGAATTCTTACATACGGTGTCCCTAAAATTAGGAATCCTTACATAGGGTGTCCCTAAAGTAAGAGATGCTTACATACGGTGTCCTTAAAGTGTAGAATGAAATCTTCTGGTCTAGTGTTTCTTGCCAGAAGTCACTGCCAACGAAAAACGTTGGAAGACGTAACTCGATGCACCAGAACGGTGACACTAGGTAGACGGAACAGGCGCGCTATGAAGTCGAGAGGATCGTTTCCCATAACTTAATCTACCTTGTCGTTCTCTAGTATCGGACGGATCGGTTACTCGCTCGACACGGGGTTGCACAACGCGAAACGAAACGATAATCCGCGTGAAAATCCCCCGATTATTCGCGGTCAGTGGAACCTGACGAAAACACCGGATTTCGCGGAGGGTAATGTCTCCTTGGGTGAGGACTCTGACCTTTTTCATCGGATCCCTGTAACAATTGTGTTAGACTGTGACAAAACGATTTCTTATAATAAATAATTTGTAACTGACCGTACTAAAAGTGTTCATGAAAAGAGACTGGTCTTTAGACTGCACGCTATTCTTTCTCCCTTCCTATAGTACCGTTTGTGGCTAACAAGTATGCAGTGTGAAATTATTCAGTGAATTCTTGACGTCGTGGAGTCAGTAACTCTCCAAACTCTGTTCTTAGTTCCAGTATGATTAAAAAATTATAATTTTATAACGTTACTTGCGCATTATACGCACGTTTCCAGCGTGCATATAGAGAGGTAGCGCTACAAAAACACAAATCTTTTCATAACAGCGGTACAAAGGACAGAAATTGGGCAGTTAGTGGCTCGAATACCTCAATAACTCAATAAAATCATCCCACACGCGTTCCCAAAGTGCGTTCCGCTCTCGATTTTTCTGCGTCAGATTCGACGATTAGATCTCGCTAGAACACGGAAAAAAGGTACGTTCTCGTTTCTGGTGATTAAGGAAACATTAATCACTCGATGGTACACTCGAGAGATCGTGAATGAATCTTATCTCCTTGTATCGCGCGGGAAAAGCAGATTTCAACAGTGATTTCGTAAGTGATTCTCGCGCGCGCGCGCGTTGCGACACAAGCGGGCTGAATGGACGTGACTCTGTCTCTCGACGAAAGGAAAACGATCGCCCCGGGGGGAATAGAATTCCTTCGCGACGAAAGCTTTAATTAAAACGATCGATTTAACCCTCGAACGTCCATACTTGGGTTTGTTTTGACCTCAACCCCATTTTTGCTGATAGATGACTCGTACAGTAAACATATGTAGTATAGTAATATAGTTACAATAAGTGGTATCGTTGTACGTGTGGCAGTATAACTACGAGAAGTAGTAGAGTTGTGAGAATAGTAGTAGGGTATGTGGGTAAAGTAGTATATCTATCAAAAGCAGTATAGTTGTATGTATAGTAGTATAGTTGTATAGTTGTATGTATAGCAGTATAGTTGTATAGTTGTATGTATAGCAGTATAGTTGTATGTATAGTAGTATAGTTGTGTGTATAGTAGTATAGTTGTATGTATAGTAGTATAGTTACAATAAGTGGTATACCTGTAACATTCTAATGTCTAGATACAAAAGTCCTATTATAGGTTAAAAATGACCCAGTTCTATCTGTCGACCGACAAATTACAGACGATTCCTAAACACGTTCTTTGTCGCGTGTGAAAAACATCGGGGACCTGAATCATCCTCGTGTGCCTAGACTCGAAGAGCAAATTGAGATCCATGCAGCTCCCCGTGTCTCGGTATCAATCACTCGAGACAGCGGTACACGATGATTACCCAGAGGAATGGTACCGTTACATAATTCGGATCTCGCGGTAGTCGCAGGGGGTTACGTAAATGCGCCCGGTCGCAAATGGCGGGGACGCAGGTATCGACGCTTCGGGTTGTTAATTGCATACACACGCGCGTAGACGTAACAGGCGAGTGTGCAACAAATAACAAAGACAGTCCCTCTGGGACATTGTTGAGTCACCTGTGTTTACGGTTTACGGAAAAGGCACGGAGGAGTCATTTTTATGATATAACTCCGCCTCCTGGTTCTTTTCTTGTTTGGACAACTATTATACCGTAGAGGATCCAGTGAAGGACTTTAATTTTTATTCCCGATCTGGGTTCTTTAGATCCATCTTTGGGGTGGCTGACCTTAGCTACCATTGTCCTTTGTGATTGTATAGATCTTGAAGTCCCAGAAATTAATGTAATAACATTCTATAAATATACTGCTCACAGCAATCAGAGGATCCATGTATTGCAGTAAAAATACAACTAGGTGTTAGTAGTATTAAGGTACGTGACGCTTGTTCCTTTCACTTGGGTACACCAGGACTGTCCACATTAGCTATCCCCTAAATCTTCTGAGCAGTGTATTCATTTTATTTCATTCAGGGTCATTCCTGAGCCACTATTATCTAGTCAGTTAGGCTAGGACTTTACCTCCCATCCCTAAAAAGTGCTCTAAATAGCCAAAGAACAGACACGGGTCCAAAGTGACCCAGATGGTATAGAAGACACTGGGCAGCCACGAGCACAACACAGTAGTCACGATCAAGTGGAGTTGTTCTCCGCATGTGCTCAAAGGATTGGCGAAGCGTGACAACGATTGGGACTCTTCATGGAATATCGAGTAGGCCCACCTAGCTTCACCCACAACTTCCAAGAAGTTCCTCTCGAAACGCTGCTCACGTGGCCGCCGCGACCAGCCGGCGTTTGTCTCGTCGCCCGTGTGTCGAATTACACGAACACACCTGTCCGCCAGAAAGAATGCGCCGTGCGTCGTGTGTTCAACGACGCCGGCGCGTCCATTGTTTCTTCCGTAACACCGCGAAACTCCCGTGAGAAGAAGCACTCGCGGAACAATGGAACGATTCTGTATCCAGGGGGAAAAAAAATTTGCGCGGGGATGTTCTAATTTCCCTTGGAGGAAATTGCTCGAGTTTCGAGAGACTCGGGCCCTTGGAAATCTCGCGTTATAAGGACTCTATGTAACTCTATGAGACTCTAGAAAGGCGAGCGCCGAAGGTGGAGGCGTCTCCTGTTGGCCTCAAACGCCAGCGTTAGGGTCTAAACTACTGGAGTAGGTGATCGTCAGAAGTTGCTCATTGAAGGCTATTTAGGCAGGTGGGAAATATAGGTTACACTGCGTTAAATTGAAGGAAGATGGTGGAAAATATTGTCTGCAATAGAATTGGGGCGTAATCAGTAATAGTACAATACTATCAGCCACAGTTAGACCCTAGTATCCTCTATGTTACTCTTATTATTAGACCACAGTAGCCTCTACACTATTGTTAGACCCCCTATCCTCTATACTATTGTTAGACCCCCTATCCTCTATGCTACTCTTAGACCACAGTATCCTCTATGCCACTCTTAGACCACAGAGTATCCTCTATACACTCCCTACACACTCCATCAAGGACAGTGCATTTAGAGTACAATATCTTGACATAGAAAGTCCACTTTTAGTAGCTGAAATGAAGTGGTAAGGGAGGTAGAGAACGGAAAAAGAATGGGACTTTTGTCCT